TGTAATGACGTATAGCAGTCTCATGTAATATGTCTCCAGTCTATGGCTGTCTCCTGAAGCCTGGCTCTAATTTCCAACAAATTCTGTAGTATGTCTGCAGTCTCTAAACCAGCCAATCTCAACCTGTACACCACCAAGGAACCCTTCAAATCATGTTTTAGGTCTAGGGGAACTCCTGCTAAACCAATTTATTTGGGCACTGGGAAGAATACCCCTTACGTAGGTAGTCAGTGGGAGGAATGTCCCCTTACAGTAATGGTCAGTAGGAGGACTGTTCCCCGTACTTTGTGGCCAGTGAGAAGAATGCCTACCTTACAGTGATAGTCAGAATGACACCTTTCACATAGCTAAAAAGGTCATTGGTGTCTTGCCGTTGGCTCATTCAAGTGACATTGGCCCTGAAACTATGTTGGCATCATCCAATGGGAGGTGTATCAACCACTGCTCAAGGAACCCCTAGCAACCTCCTGAGGAACCCTAGGGTTCCTTGGAACCCTGGTTGAAAATAGCTGCCCTAAACCATCTCCTGTAGCATGTCACAGCTTCTGAACAGCTCTCTTAGCATGCCAGTAGACTCTGACCAATTCTGGTGCATGTCAACAATCTGATAACTTTCTGTAGCACTCCTCTCAATGAATATTATGTGTGCCCCTTTGGTGATGTCAGGGGCCTCACTTGAGCCCCCTATAACAAGAAATGCGGCATCATCACTGATATATGGGTGCAAGACCCTGTGCAAGTTTTTCCCATTAATAATGCAATAATAATTCTTTATGGAAAATTGCATTCGTATTCGTATATATATCACTTATGATAGTATTTATAATATTTTAAAGCCTATGTGAGCGGTTCAGGTATTGGAAACCAACAGTGTTATGGCTTTTAGTAAGTTCATTCACCCCACTTTAGCAGTTTATATAAACTGATGAGAAAAGTCTGTTTCTTGATGTACGCAAATGCCTTTTTCTCCCAGTGTGTGGGACAAAACATGTCAGAGGATGTCTCTTGTAGAGTGGTGCAAGGCTGAGGCCATCTTACACATGTTAACCACATAGACTGGATTGGGTTGAGTTTTTTCTAAGTATGATGAGAAAATCTGTTTCTTGATGTAGGCAAATGTCTTTGCCAGGACAGTGGCAGAGAGTGGCATTAAAACTTCATGTAAGAGTGATCAGTAGATCCAGAGAAGGGGCAGAATCATCTGGCACAAGAAAATTCAAGATTGCACTTAACTTCTCCTACCTGTCTTTAAATCATTTGATCATAGGTGTCCTTTTATGAAACAGAGATCAGCGGCGTTTCTGAGGATCGTTGCTGATCTCCGATCATTAGTGGTTTAGGAAACAGAGATGATCAGTGGAGAAACATGTTCTCTGCTGATCATCTCAGCACACAGACAGCCAGTGTATGAAGGAGCGATGTCAGCCCTGCACTGGTGATCTGTGTTCTCCCTCCAGATTCTCCAGTCCAGAGCTGGAGAATCGAAGGAACCGCAAACGAAGCAGCGATAATTTACCAGAATGCATAAAAAGGGAGGTGCAGCGCTAACTTAATAAATACACATTCATATAAACCAATGTTAAGGTGCTGATAAAGTGCAATAAAAAGGTGACTATAGATGATGAGTATAGTCCATAACGTGATCAAAACCCAAGAGAGTCTTCAAAGAACTCCAATGACTGGATTCGTGGATGAGGTGATAAAGGTATAAAGATTGCGCACTCACCAGATACGCAATCCAAATGCGCATTCAGAACAGATAATCCTAGGGTCCTCATATGGATCTGGTCAGATCTGGTCACAAAGTCCCTCGCCACTTGATAGTGTTGCCACACATAGATGAAAAAAGGCCACTCTGCAGACGTAAAAGGCTCCCACCGGAGCCCAAAGAACAAAAGGAGGCCAAATAGTGTGATACCTGTGATAGTGTGGCGCCGGTCGGCGTGACGTCACACCGCTGTAGCCGCTCCCTAAGCGCCACGAGGGCCCCGGCGGCCATTTGCTAAACCTATGTATGGTCAGTATCTTTCCTGCCCCTGCTTGTATCGTGATTTTTTGGGAATAAATACCCCTTGCCATTAAGGTATCACACTATTTGGCCTCCTTTTGTTCTTTGGGCTCCGGTGGGAGCCTTTTACGTCTGCAGAGCGGCCTTTTTTCATCTATGTGTGGCAACACTATCAAGTGGCGAGGGGCTTTGTGACCAGATCTGACCAGATCCATATGAGGACCCTAGGATTATCTGTTCTGAATGCGCATTTGGATTGCGTATCTGGTGAGTGCGCAATCTTTATACCTTTATCACCTCATCCACGAATCCAGTCATTGGAATTCTTTGAAGACTCTCTTGGGTTTTGATCACGTTATGGACTATACTCATCATCTATAGTCACCTTTTTATTGCACTTTATCAGCACCTTAACATTGGTTTATATGAATGTGTATTTATTAAGTTAGCGCTGCACCTCCCTTTTTATGCATTCTGATTATTTTGAAGGTTTATACGGTACCTTTTTTGGTGTTCAGCTGCTATTGTCTCATTTTTATTTATTAATTTATCAATTTTAGAATCTAATTTAAGCGCTCACTTGCCCTGAGATTTAGCGATAATTTACCGTTGCTTAGTAAATGTGTTTGACTGATCTCTTACTGTAACCTCGCGAGATTATAGTAAAAGCAGCCATTTTCCAGCATTTGTACATCGCTTCTCCCTTCATTGGAGAACTGATCTACACCGCTTCATAAAATGGCATTCTCAGGAGAACTGTGTTCTCCGAGAATGCCGGAGAACTGAGCAGCGGTCCTTTGCTGCATGATAAAAGGACACCTACTGTAAATGACATGCACTTTTCACTGAATATAAGCTGATCTTTTACAGATTTTCATCACATGCTTTGTTTGAAATGACAAAAGAATGTCATAACATCACTCAGGGTGTGTATAGCATGTCCAGTGTCTCTGCCCTGCTTCTGGGACCCTTCTTCACTATACAACAATTGTCAGCTTTTATTAACCAAAGCCAGCATTACCGTATGTTCACAGAAGGTGTGTCGGCAGCTCCAGCTGTCAAAAAAACAGTCTGAATCTGTTTTCATAAATAAGCCTGGGTTCATATATGTGCGGTGCAGTATATCGCATGTGATTCGCACAGGAACTGCACTGCATTCCTGTGCAAATCACATGCGATTTGTGTGCAGTGTGATTGGAGCCATACATTTTTTATGGCTCTATTTGCACCGCACCTGCACCAAAAACGTGCAGGACCCTTTTCTGGGTCTGCACTAGAACTGGATCGCATAGGTATTCACAACTATGCGATCTGATTCTGTACATCGCACTGCGTTTTGAATACCGCTTTAGTGGTGTTGTTAAGTTAACATACACACCCGCAGTGGTTCGCATGAACGGGGTGCGATTCTGATGCGGTGCGGAATTCACACTAAAAACGACGCGAATTCCGCACCGCATCAGTGTGAACCAGGGCTAACACTGCTCAGAGGTGAATATATGCAAAATATACAATGTAACATATTGGTATTTTTGTATCATTCTGTTCATTCATCCGCAGATCAAAGGGATGATCTTCAAATTATGTCAGTTAAAGCAACCCCACAAGTAAAAAAAAAAAAAAAAAGTAGTTTTTTGAATAAAATGTTCCTCTGTTTAACCCCTTATTAACCATTAGTTTACTCTAATCAGCCCTAATTAACTCTTCTCCTCCAACTATTATTTTCCTGCTGATTTTTGGTTTGTTTCTATTTCACTAACTATTAATATTTAAACTTTTTGTTTGTCTTTGTTTTCTTTTGTTAATATTTTTAAAAATATAATCTATGCATTTTTACTTTTCATATTTTAAAAAAAGAGAGATTGAAAAAAATAACACTTTATTAATTTGTAAATAAATTTGCAGTGCTTGGCCCAAACAAACTATTGAGCCTGGGTTCACATTTGAGCGGCTCTGTATATCACATGTGATTCGCGCAGGAACCACACTGCATTCCTGTGCAAATCACATGTGATTTGTGTGCGGTGCCATACATTTTGTATGGCTCTATTCGCACCGCACCCGCCCCAAAACATGCAGGACCCTTTTTTGGGTCTGCACTAGAATCGGATTGCATAGGTATTCACACCTATGTGATCTGATTCGTCACATCGCACCATGTTATGCAGACCGCTTAACTTAACATACACATCCGCAGCGGTTCGCATGAACGGGGTGTGATTCTGATGCGGTGCACTGAAACCACTGCGAATTCCGCACTGCATAAGTGTGAACCAGGGCTGAAAGTGTTAGCTCACCTTTACAGAAAAAACATTTAAAGATGAACTGACACTAAATCCCCACTGTATTTATCTATGGGGTTGCCACGCTGTCAGCACCCTCCGGCAGCTGCTCAAGTGGTCTGGGGATTAGAAATCCCCACTCTTTTTCTTTGTTCTCCATCAGTGCTTCCAGGATGGAGCAGATGGATTCTGATTGGTCAGCACCATCACACTGACGGCACTGACAAATCAGAATCCATTGTGCTTCAGCCTGGAAGCACTGACGGAAAAGAGCGAGAAGAGCGGAGTTTTCAAATTCCTGAACCTCTGGGACTACTGATGGTTTGCAACCCCAGAGGCAAGAAGAGCGGGGACTGTGGGGTGGGAAGGGTGTCTGGTGTTAGTTTATATTTATATTTTTCTGTGAATGTGCACTAACACTTGAAAATGAAATAAAAGATGAAGTTAAGGCTCTTTTCCACCTGTGCTCCCCCCTGTAGAGCAGTCCATGGTGCATCACTTTTCAGAGGGTGGTTGACAGGTGGTGAGGAGGCATTGTGTCACCACCTGTTTTAAAAAACGCACCAACGGATGTCAGATGGAACCCATTCCTTTGCCTGGATCTCGTTCAGCGGGGAAGGGGTTCTGCTTGCCGAATGTGACAGTGAGGATAATTTTTTCTAAGAACAAATGCAAAACATTGTGATTGTAACCAGGGGCGGACTGACAACTCATGGGGCCCCCGGGCAATAGGGGATCATGGGGCCCCTGTGTCCTTGCCCAAACTCAAAAAAGCCTATGAAAAAGGTACCAGTGGCATCTCATGGGGCCCTCTACTGACCCCGGGCCCTCGGGCAGTGCCCGAGTTTCCAAATGTTCAGTCCGCCCCTGATTGTAACATATGCACACTACTACACTTCAGGTCATAGATTATTTGTTTGTCTTTTCAACCAGCCAGTGGGGTAAATTAAAAAAAAAAAAAAGAATGGGTTCCCCCATACACACAGGTGAGGTGGATGGAGGAATCTTCCCTGGTGAGACAATATATTACTGACAGAGACATTTCTACATTCTAGTGTATGTGATAGCTCACTGCTGAGACATCAACCACAACCAACACTTAGGGCTCTAGTACATGGGTGTATGAGCTAGTTCAACGTAATTCCTGGCATATTTCCTCTGCCCAGTCAACCCAGATGCAACGTACATCCATCCATTGGCACGAATGGTGGTGCACAGGGACGGACTGGCAACTCATGGGGCCTCCGGATAGTAGGGGATCATGGGGCCCCTGTGTCCTCACCCACACTCAAACCACACCCAAAATAGCCTATGAAATGTACCAGGGGCATCTCATGGGGCCCCCTACTGACCCTGGCCCTAGGGCAGTGCCTGAGTGCTGGAATGGTCAGTCCGCCCCTGGCGGTGCAGTGCTTTACTGGTGCTATCATAAACAGTGTACGGGCATATGCAAAACATAGAAAGCATTCTGTATCTTTCATACACCTGTATGTTGTACTCATGTTTCTGATAGCACCACTGTATACCCGCTTGCCGACTGGCCCACCACACATTTAGTATGGCAGGTCTGCTTCTCTGTGCTGGATCATGTATCTGGTATGTGATCGGTGCTCCTGGGTAGTGGGCACTGATCACATACCAGCACAAGCCAATGATTGATCACTGGGACCTGCTGATTGGCTCCGTGATAAACGGAAGAGAGCTCTGTGTTGTTTATCTCTACACTGACAGGCAATCTTGCTGCTTTTTTATTCCCTGCAAAGCAGGGAAAAAAAAACAAGGTTTCTTAGTATTAGCAGCACATTTACACACATTGTTAGGCACACACTTAACCCCTTGATCACAGCTAGATGTTAACCCCTTCCCAGCCAGTGTCATTAGTACAGTGACAGTTTATAGCATTAGCACTGATCACTGTATTAGTGTCACTGTTAATTCCAATGTCAGTCAGTTAGTGTACCCCACAGCCAGCGTCAGCTAGTGTCAGATTGCCCACCACACTATTACCGTCCCACTATAAGTCACTGCCATTACTAGTATAAAAGAAACTCCAGTATATATCCCGTAGTTTGTAGATGCTATAACTTTCACGCAAACCAAATAATATACACTTATTTGGATTTTTCTACCAAAGACTTGTAGCAGAATACACTTTGGCTTAAATTTATGAAGAAATTTGATTTTAAAAATTTTTTATTGGATATAGTTTTTTAGCAGAAAGTAAAAAATATTGCTTTTTTTTTTCAAAATGTTTGGTCTTTTTTCATCTATATAATAAGAATAAAAAAACTCAGTGGTGATAGTCACTACATCAGGATCAAATATATATATACCATCGTTTGTAGACGCTATAACTTTCACACAAACCAATTCATTTACATTTATTGGGATTCTTTTAACCAAAGATGTAGCAGAATACATTTTGACCTAAATTTATGGTGATATTTGATTTTATGGTATATGTTTTATGACAGAAAGTAGAGAGTATCATTATTTTTTAAACAATTTTGGTCTTTTTTTTGTGAAAGCTTATCCAGGGAATATCCAATTGCCTCTCGGGATCAGAAAGAATTTTTTTTCCCCTGCTGAAGCAAAACTGGATCATGCTTTTTTTTTTTTTTTTTTTCCTTTTTATACCATGTGGGTATGGTATTGTGCATATAGAATTGTATTTTTTTTTCCTTTTTCCCTTTTGATGGTTGAACTAGATGGACATGTGTCTTTTTTTCAACCAAACTATGTAAATATGTAACTATATATATTGCTAAAAAAAAAACCCAACAAAAAACAGTGAAGATTAAATACCACCAAAAGAAAGCACTATTTGCATGAAAAAAAAGAGATATATCTCCCTCTTAGACTGTAAGCTGTACCAAGCAGGGCCCTCTGATCCCTCCTGTGTTCATTTGTATTGTAATTGTACTGTCTACCCCATGTTGTCAACTGTTGGCACTATATAAATCCTGTATATTAATAGTAATAATATATATTTTCATTTGTGCACAGTGTTGCATGCAAGGGGGGACAAGGGGATGGCAGGAGGGGTGGCTGCCCTGGCACTGTGGTATCATTTGAGGTGGGGAGGGCACCATGAGGAGATTGGGGGGGGGGAGACTTGTTTTGGGAGGGGGAATATAGTGGGATGCAGGGGTTTAGAATTGTTCTAGGAGAGGAAATTTGGGGAGTTTTGATTTTGGAGAATTCGTGTTCGGAGGGGGGATGGGGGAAGAGGATTTGTGCTAGGAGGGGGGATTTTGGTGGGTTGTGCTAGAAAAGCTGACATAGTAGAGAGGGGGAGGAGATTTTGTGCTGTAAGGATGATAGGGGGTAATTGTGGTAGGAGGGGGGAAAATTTTGAAGGAGAAGAATTTGTGCTAGGGTGGGGGATTGGGGGAGGGGAATTTGTGCTGAAATGGAGGGAGGAGGGGGGGGGGGGGGGAGGGGGGGGGGGGGGGATTTGTGCTCGGAGGGGAAACTTGAAGGATAGAGGATCTGTGCTAGGAGGGGTTTTTTTTTTTTGGGAGGGGGGATTTGTGCTGGAGGTATAGGGGGGAGAGAGGATTGGGGCTGGGGGTAGATTTGTACTGTATTTACTGTAGGCTTAGAAAGGTAAGCATGCAAATTATTGCTTGGGGGGGGGGGGGGGAGATTTGTGCTTTTGGGATGATTGTTGGTATTTGTGCTAGAAGGGGGAAATTTTTAGGGGGGAGGAGAATTCGTGCTAGGATGGGGGATTGGGGGAGGGGAATTTGTGCTGAAATAGGGGGATTTGGAGTGAGGGGGGGGGGGGGGGGGAGGATTTGTGCTTGGAGGGGAAACTTGAAGGATAGAGAATCTATACTAAAGGGGTTTTTTTGGGAGGTGGGATTTTGTGATGGGGGCATATGGGGGGGAGAGAGAATTGGGGCTGGGGGGGGGGAATTTTCATAGGGGGGTAGACTTGTACTGGGAGGAGAGGGAATTTACTGTAGGCTTAGAAGGTTAGCATGCAAATTATTGCTTGATTTTTTTTTTTTTGGGGGGGGGGGGGAGGAGATTTGTGGGGGAAGATTGGGGGTATCGTTGTGTGCTAGGAGGGGAATTTATTTGGGGGAGGAGAATTCATGCTAGGATGGGGGATTGGGGAGGGGAATTTGTGCTGAAATGGGGGGATTTGGAGTGGGGGGGATGATTTGTGCTTTGAGGAGAAACATGAAGGGTAAGGATCTATACTAGGAGGGGTTTTTTTTTTGGGGGGGGAGATTTGTGATGGGGGCATATGGGGGAGAGAGAGAATAGGGGATGGGGGATTTTCATAGAGGGGTAGACTTGTACTGGGAGGAGAGGGAATCTACTGTAGGCTTAGAAGGTAAGCATGCAAATTATTGCTTGATTTTTTTTTTTTTTTGGGGGGGAGGAGATTTGTGCTGTAGGGATGATTGGGGGGTATTTGTGCTAGGAGGGGAACTTTTTTGGGGAGGAGAATTCGTGCTAGGATAGGGGATTGGGGGAGGGGAATTTGTGCTGAAATGGAGGGGTTTGGGTGAGGGGGGGGGGGGGGGGGGTGCTGGGGGGAGAGGAAACTTGAAGGGTAGAGGCTCTGTGCTAGGAGGGGTTTTTTTTGTGAGGGGGGATTTGTGCTGGGGGGCATAGGGGGAGAGAGAGAATTGGGGGGCGGGGGGGTAGGGGGGGGGGGGGGGGGGGGGGGGGGGGGGGGGGGGGGGGGGGGGGGGGGGGGGGGGGGGGGGGGGGGGGGGGGGGGGGGGGGGGGGGGGGGGGGGGGGGGGGGGGGGGGGGGGGGGGGGGGGGGGGGGGGGGGGGGGGGGGGGGGGGGGGGGGGGGGGGGGGGGGGGGGGGGGGGGGGGGGGGGGGGGGGGGGGGGGGGGGGGGGGGGGGGGGGGGGGGGGGGGGGGGGGGGGGGGGGGGGGGGGGGGGGGGGGGGGGGGGGGGGGGGGGGGGGGGGGGGGGGGGGGGGGGGGGGGGGGGGGGGGGGGGGGGGGGGGGGGGGGGGGGGGGGGGGGGGGGGGGGGGGGGGGGGGGGGGGGGGGGGGGGGGGGGGGGGGGGGGGGGGGGGGGGGGGGGGGGGGGGGGGGGGGGGGGGGGGGGGGGGGGGGGGGGGGGGGGGGGGGGGGGGGGGGGGGGGGGGGGGGGGGGGGGGGGGGGGGGGGGGGGGGGGGGGGGGGGGGGGGGGGGGGGGGGGGGGGGGGGGGGGGGGGGGGGGGGGGGGGGGGGGGGGGGGGGGGGGGGGGGGGGGGGGGGGGGGGGGGGGGGGGGGGGGGGGGGGGGGGGGGGGGGGGGGGGGGGGGGGGGGGGGGGGGGGGGGGGGGGGGGGGGGGGGGGGGGGGGGGGGGGGGGGGGGGGGGGGGGGGGGGGGGGGGGGGGGGGGGGGGGGGGGGGGGGGGGGGGGGGGGGGGGGGGGGGGGGGGGGGGGGGGGGGGGGGGGGGGGGGGGGGGGGGGGGGGGGGGGGGGGGGGGGGGGGGGGGGGGGGGGGGGGGGGGGGGGGGGGGGGGGGGGGGGGGGGGGGGGGGGGGGGGGGGGGGGGGGGGGGGGGGGGGGGGGGGGGGGGGGGGGGGGGGGGGGGGGGGGGGGGGGGGGGGGGGGGGGGGGGGGGGGGGGGGGGGGGGGGGGGGGGGGGGGGGGGGGGGGGGGGGGGGGGGGGGGGGGGGGGGGGGGGGGGGGGGGGGGGGGGGGGGGGGGGGGGGGGGGGGGGGGGGGGGGGGGGGGGGGGGGGGGGGGGGGGGGGGGGGGGGGGGGGGGGGGGGGGGGGGGGGGGGGGGGGGGGGGGGGGGGGGGGGGGGGGGGGGGGGGGGGGGGGGGGGGGGGGGGGGGGGGGGGGGGGGGGGGGGGGGGGGGGGGGGGGGGGGGGGGGGGGGGGGGGGGGGGGGGGGGGGGGGGGGGGGGGGGGGGGGGGGGGGGGGGGGGGGGGGGGGGGGGGGGGGGGGGGGGGGGGGGGGGGGGGGGGGGGGGGGGGGGGGGGGGGGGGGGGGGGGGGGGGGGGGGGGGGGGGGGGGGGGGGGGGGGGGGGGGGGGGGGGGGGGGGGGGGGGGGGGGGGGGGGGGGGGGGGGGGGGGGGGGGGGGGGGGGGGGGGGGGGGGGGGGGGGGGGGGGGGGGGGGGGGGGGGGGGGGGGGGGGGGGGGGGGGGGGGGGGGGGGGGGGGGGGGGGGGGGGGGGGGGGGGGGGGGGGGGGGGGGGGGGGGGGGGGGGGGGGGGGGGGGGGGGGGGGGGGGGGGGGGGGGGGGGGGGGGGGGGTGTGATGATTTACACCAAAGGGGGGGGGGGGGGGGGGGGGGGGGGGGGGGGGGGGGGGGGGCAGCTTACCAATTCTTCACTGGGGGGGGGGGGGTATTAGTTTTTCTTTTTTTAGGTTTTCTTCTGTTTTTACCTGGTGATCCAGCCAGGGGGGGGGGGGGGGGGGGGGGGGGGGGGGATGGGGGGGTTACAGAGATGGGGGGGGGGGGGGGGGGGCAGGGGTGCTTATAATCATCAGCTTTTATGGGGGGGGGTAAAAACCTTTAGGGGGGGTTCACTAAACAATTGGTGT